GAAATAATGTTGAATGAAAGCTAGCATCGCGTATAATATTAAAAGCACCGCATATAGTGCTCGAACCACTGCGTATAATTGCAAAAGCATCGCGTATATAAATGGTGAAAGCACCGCGTATAATATTGGAACCACCGCGTATAATGCGGGAACCACCGCTCAAAATAAGACGTTATCCGTTAAGAGCTAATCGAGGAAGAACAGATCATGAACTTTAAAGAAATTTTACGTTTTTATCGTTGACAATTTATAGTTAATTTAATCGTTATGAACAGAGACTCTTGTTAGAAAGGGAAATGTGACATATCGCGCATGCCCTTTGGGGTAGCAAACATGTGCGATAGCGATAAATGTTGTTATTCAGTTTTAGAAGCCCATTAAAAGTTGAGTTTGAGTCGTATTACAGTGCATTTCTGAGGATATAACTATATAGTGATTCGTATGTGAAATTTTTTATAGCGCCTGGGGAACGAGGCAGTCGTTTAACAACGATGTACACTCATCTTGCCTATGTGCGCACAGTTGATTCACCTTGGTTGACCTTCACACTTCGAAGTAAATCGTTCTATACTGATGTACACATGTCAAACATACCAAAGTCACTCACGTGTGTCAGTTCGCGTGATTTATATTTATATTTCGTATAAAATGTATTTGTTGAATACAATTTTCGCTGGATTCCGCGCAGATTACTAAGTAAACATATTTCTAAAAATCAGAAAGGTATATATATATATATATATATATATATAACAATTTATTTGAAATGTTTTTCTGCGGTACTCTGGTTAACTTAACCAAATAAATGCAATCCTCAGTCAGGAGTCCAGTCTAATGCCCCACCACGCAATGCCCCTCTCCTCTGTCTTGGATGATCTAAAGTCGTAAAGGTTACTGTTTATATGTGTTGAAAAAGACGTTCGATCGTAACAAGCGTGATGTGAGAAAACGCACACAACCCAGCCATAAATAGAGATGACGTTAGTTCTCTTCAACAACCAATCTAAACCCTATTGACCGATGACGTCATCCCTCTAGCACATTGTGACTTTAAATGACCATGTATACTTCATTTTTTAATTTGACCTCGTTGAATAGATCTAGAGGATGCAATTTGATCGAGGTTTGCATTTATTTTCACCAGAGTACAAGCCAAGAATTCTCTATAAATTTCTCGTTTCCAGTTTCACCATAATACCATTGGTGGACTTAAGAATCATGTCAGAAGTTATCTTGATATCCTCAGTCAACTGCGTAGACTTGATATGAAAATGACGTATAATCGAAGCTAATACGACTTTTTCTTCCATCATTGCAAATTTTTGCCCTAAAAGAGAAGATTCCCATTAGGGTTGCGAATAGGATTGCTGTCATGTCAATGGCGTTACTCCTTTGGGCGTTACCGCAATTTTCCGTTTCGTAAACCGCCTGTAACAATCTGTAACCTGTAACCAGTAAATCTGGTCACCTGTAACAATCAGCGTCGCCACTTTCAATGTGCATCACATCCGATAGATTTCACCAACTTATCCATGTTTGCAGTAGCACGCCACGTCGGCAGTTTCAATGGACAGGACAGGGGTCCCCTTCAGTTTAAGTTACAGCAGTACGACATGTTACATATTAAACAGCGTTACTTACCAATACAGTTTCTGGGTCCTGCTGAGAAAGGAACATAAGCAAAGGGATTTCTCTCAACGTTAGTTTCAGAAAGAAATCTATCAGGATTAAACGTATCAGGATCGTCCCATACTTCAGGATTACGGTGTAATGCCATAGGTGCCACAATAACAGAACAGCCTTCAGGAATATGGTACGGGCCTGTAATTCAACTTTCCATTATAATTTGTGAATATTTGTTATTCTTAGAGTACAAGACGCACGCATGTGAGTGGGCACTGTCCATCACTACCAGGGCGCTTATATATAGGGCGGTGCAACGCGCTGATGGGTGTGTGATGCAGAAAAGGACTGGCACAACCGTGCTTTTCGTTAAATACGAAATTCTTCATGAGAATGTTTTTGCACTGTAACGACGAAGTAGTAACTAGTGTATCTTATGAACTTTAAAAGAAATATTGATGATAATGACTTCTCCGAAGGATTCGTTAATTAACAAAATACAAATTCAAGTTGAGCGTTTAATTTCTTGATTTCCAATTGAAAAGATCAACAAGTAGCTAAAATTCATTGTGAGTTGTCGATACAAGTTGCCATAAGACAACGCGCCATAGTAA